AGTGCCCTTTAACCCCATCCCAGTTTGTCCCAGTCCATCCCAGTCTGTCCCAGTATAAACCAGTATAACCCAGTTCCCTCCCAGTGCCCTTTAACTCCTTCCCAGTCCTTCCCAGTCCCTCCCAGTTCCCTCCCAGTTTGTCCCAGTCTATTCCAGTCCCTCCCAGTTAGTCCCAGTCCCTCCCAGTCCCTCCCAGTATATCCCAGTACCCCCTAACCCCATCCCAGTCCATCCCAGTGCCCTCCCAGTCCATCCCAGTGCCCTCCCAGTCCATCCCAGTCCATCCCAGTCCATCCCAGTGCCCTCCCAGTCCATCCCAGTGCCCTCCCAGTCCCCTCTAACCCCATCCCAGTCCCCTCTAACCCCATTTCAATCCCCTCTAACTCGCTCCAACTCGCTCCCAGTATATCCCAGTGCCTCCCAGTCCATCCCAGTACCCCCTAACCCCATCCCAGTCCATCCCAGTGCCCTCCCAGTCCATCCCAGTTTGTCCCAGTTCCATCCCAGTCCATCCCAGTGCCCTCCCAGTCCATCCCAGTCCCCTCTAACCCCATTTCAATCCCCTCTAACTCGCTCCAACTCGCTCCCAGTATATCCCAGTCCCTCCCAGTTAGTCCCAGTCCCTCCCAGTTTGTCCCAGTCCCTCCCAGTATATCCCAGTCCATCCCAGTACCCCTAACCCCATCCCAGTCCATCCCAGTCCATCCCAGTGCCCTCCCAGTCCATCCCAGTACCCCCTAACCCCATCCCAGTCCCCTCTAACCCCATTTGAATCCCCTCTAACTCACTCCAACTCGCTCCCAGTATATCCCAGTCCCTCCCAGTTTGTCCCAGTCCCTCCCAGTTTGTCCCAGTCCATCCCAGTACCCCCTAACCCCATCCCAGTGCATCCCAGTGCCCTCCCAGTCCATCCCAGTGCCCTCCCAATCCCCTCTAACCCCATTTCAATCCCCTCTAACTCACTCCAACTTGCTCCCAGTATACCCCAGTCCCTCCCAGTATATCCCAGTATATCCCAGTATATCCCAGTCCATCCCAGACCTTCTGGACGTGGTTGATCTCGTCGTGCTTGCGTTTCTGGTTGCGGGTGATCTTCCTCTCGGGCTCGGCCAGCTCG